CCCCCAGACGAGCCGCGGCCTCGCCTGCACCCGCCCCACCCCAGCTGGGCAGCACCTGCGCCAGCCCCACTCCCTTCCTCACCACAGGCAGTGTTGATCTCCACCCCCACTTTCCCTCCCCACTTCCATTCCACCACAAGAGACTTACCAGCTGCACACAGCTCTCCAAGCTGCCGGACTGTGCTCCTCGCTGCCTATGTGCCACGCTGCAGCTCCATGCACGCACAGGCATTTATCGGCCAAATTATCAGCCACATCAGGCTGATTTCCGATGCAGTCAATTTTCTCTATATTGGTGCCGATCCGATGTCGGACCGATGTATTGGTGCACCTCTAGTTTATAATGAAGTCTGTGCACTTGGCACGATGCAGTAGACGAGGAAGAAGATGCACCTTGATTGATAAAATACAGCAACACAACCATTAAGCATTCACTTCTATACACGAACCAGGATGAGAATCCCTGTTGACCATCAGGTAACAGTATGCATTGCTGTCATCATTTCTGAATGGCTTGTGTTTAGCTGCTGTTGTGGTGCGCGTAAGAATTTTGTGGCAAGACCTTCAAAGAGATCCATTTACTTGATTGAGAAGGTGTGAACGTTTCTGGAGCTCATCAAAACATATTGCTAATTGGTAACTGTTGTAACAAGTGCATTATAACGCTCGGCTGAACACTGCTCAGCTGAAAGCTGCTGTTACGACTGCTGCATTCTTGGATATCTGGAGTCTTGAGACCTAATGGGATAACTCAGATTCACTAGGTGAAGTGCTAGGGAGGCCTGTATTAAAGCCCTGTTCCTACAAAAGCATATGTGCATGCTTAACTTTAAGTCATGAGTAGTTTAACTAAACTCAGTGGGATTAATTAGATGATTACCGTTAAGCATTGTGCATTAGCCTTTGCAAGATTGAGGTTTAAACATGTATGCCTCCATGGCTGTTGTTGAAAACCGACTCGTATTCACGTAAGACATTCTCCAAGGATGCTGTTGGTTTCAATGGTCTTAAACCAAGCAGTTCTCTGAAATCAGATCAGAATAATGGAGTCCCACTGAGTGGTTCAGTCCTCATTCGAATAGTTCACAGTTTGAAATTATTGTAACAGAGGTATGTTTGGGGGCCAAGAGAAAACTCAGCACCTTCCAATAGCCCATACTGTACAAGAGCTTGGAGAGTTTGGCCTGTTCAATGTACCAAATTGAAGGCTGGACAGGGATACGACCGTTGTCTCAAGGAGGAAAGAGAGTAATTTAGGCTAAGGAGCCAATGTTAGCGCAAGAAGTAAAATGTGACCATGAATTAATTTAAGCTGGAAATTATAAGAGGATTTCTGACTGTCAGGGCAGTGAGGTTAGAGAACCACCTTCCAAAAGGAGTAATGGAGTCAAAGATGCTAAGTAATTAAGGTGGAGTCTGCGATCGGGATAACGGGATGTGGTTGCATACAATAGCGGGGGCTTGCACTTCCTGACCCCACATTTTGTGTAAACATTTCATTAATGTAAACAGGCACCTGAGCAATAGTCCTGTATCTAAAAGCAGAGAGGTACAGGATTTCAGTTTTGTTGGGAGGTCTTTCAGCTCAGTAGATACCTGGTAAGAATGGGAAGCAGATTTAGAATACCTCTCGAAGAAGAAGCACCTCTCAGTGATCACCTGCCGCAAGCGCATCCAGAACAGAAATCCTTTGACGTGCACAAATTAAGTCCCGAAACTGGAAATTGAAACAGGAAAATATAGAGCTGTTCTTCACTTTCTTAGTCTCAAGCAGTTTAACATAGGGAGGGAAAAAGCAGCATAATTAAAAAATGGCCAGAACATTGGAGGAGACCTGACAACTACAAGTGAAAATTTTACAGCCAGCAGCAATTACAGGGGCAGAGGGAGCAAGCAGCGCTCAAAGTATGTTCTGGGCAGCTTAAGTTAAATGAGATTAGTGCTGGCTGTTCAGTATAATGGAGGTTGATTTAATAGTTTGACCTGGCAAGTCTTTTGTCACCGTGTGACTCCTCCTAGCTTTGTATGGCAGAAGAGTGACAATAATCCCTGGGGAAAAGGGAAGTGGGTATTGAAATTTTTATGGAACTTTTTTTTATGTCTGAATTGCCCTTCTTCATGGTGAAACAAGCTCCTTTGCAATTCTGGCTTTGTATGTGTTTTAAGATAGAAGAGCAGCTTTTCAAAGTGTTTGGTTTATTGATTGTCAAGAGAAGAATTGCCATTTAAATTTTAAAGATACTCTGCAAACTCGCTGTATCCACTGCTCCATGAGCAAGCAAATCCTCCCCAAACCACTTTTCTTTACAAATCAGAGTGCCCAGGAGATGAATAGGGTTCGTTTATATTAGTTTTCAGTTTAATCTCTCTTCCTGCCAGATCTTTTATCTTCCACCAGGAGAGGAAAAAGAATAAATAAAGTATTCTACAGATGCAGCATATAAACAGAGCGGAGCCCCAAGGTGCCGGGGAGATTAATAGGCCTTGTTGTTGAATCAAACTGTTCACTAGATCGAGATGCTCGAGTTAAGCACTCTCAAGTGCCGTTTACACTTGCAGTAAACAAATTAAACGGATTTGCTCCAGGAAATGGACCAGGGCAGATTAGCTCATTTAAGGACATTCGGCATTCTCGTTAGTGTCTGGCCTTCCCTTTTCTTGATTAAGCCGCCTCAAGCAACTTACTGCGTCCGCCCGACCTTAATGCCTTCTCCCCATTCATTTTCATCTTGCACCTTGGATGTAGCGAGGTGAAGTTTTTTGACTAAAGGTCGACAAAAGTCAAATAGTGCAAAGGAAGTGTGGGGAGAGGAAAGACTATGGCTTTCCATAGTTAATGTGGATAAACTTCCTGTGTTACCTAGAAGATGAAAATTCCCATGACGTAGGTTGTCATTGAGAGCTTGTGGTCAAAGCCGCTGCCAGTAACGTCACGTGAAAAGGTTACTGTTCTACAAGCATCTACTCAGTGCTTACTTCATCCAGGATCCTGTTAAGAAACTGCTCAGAAAGCTTTTGCTGGACTAAATATATTTGGAACTGAATAATTACAAGATGCAGCCTTTATGGCCCAACTGGCATTGTGCCTTGGAGGATTTAAACTTGCTTAAGAACTTGCCAGCAAAGCACTGAATTAGTGATTTATATGTTGGTGTGAAGTTTGACAGCAGCGTTCGGCATCTGGGACATCTCAGCTTCATTTTCAGGCTGTCTGTGGCTTCATCAAAGTGACCTGTCAGGCTCGAGTGCATCGCTGTTCTGTTGAACTACGTACCCAGATACGCTGCCAGAAGCTAGGGGCCCTATCCTCAGTCCTTTCCAGAGGCAGTTTTAACTTTGAGCGTGGGACATGAAAACAGCTGGTATTAGTTAAAACCGAGCGAGCCTTTAAAGCAGCCGATTCCATAGCTCCTTTGCTGCACCACCAGCCAAATGTCACCTTTCCTTGACTCTCGCCGTCAGGACTGTGGGGAGAAGATATGACACCATGCTAGGATGAAAAGAAGGCAGAATATTTAATTTCCAACATGTTTCATTTTTCACCTCTCTGAAAACATGAAAATGTAATTCAGGCAGCAGAGGAGCTCCGTGTGCAAAGTGTGTGAACTGACAGCAGGGGGTTTACACTGCTGCCAAGGCTGTTTATTCCAGGGAGACATCCTAAGAAATGATTCGACTGAATACCAGACCTTACCTCTGTAGGAGAAAAAAAAAAATCTGCAGGCTGGTAAAATCCACAACAGTAGCTTTTCCAGATCTTTTAAGCAAAGAGCTGATTTGGCAGACAGAGAATGACTCTTCCACACCTGCTTGAAAGCTGAGCAGAAAGATATTCCAGACTAGCTGTGAATTTCATTACAGCCCATCAGCGAGAGCCACTCATGGGTGTGGTGTTGTAATGGACTGCCAAACAGATGGGTTGCAAAATACACAGCCCATCTGTCTTTATCATGCTCATTTCCTCTTTTATTAAAATGTTAATGAATATAGTTTTTATTTATTACGCCCTGACATGTGCAACCTCACTTTCCTATAGTCAAATGTGCAATGTGCCTCTATGGGTTGACAGAAAGGTTTCTTTTGTTGGACAGAAACTTCTTCCCAAAGTCTTTCCGCGGAAAGAAGTGCCAAGACGCTGTCTCGTTTCTGCAGGGCTTTTTAACAAGTACCTCAATGTTTTCCAAATGTCTTTTGCTCCACCAGACTCCCCCTGGAAGGTGCACCTCTCGAACGTGGATCCAAAGATGACCGATGTGACTGTGAGTGGGTTAACTCCAGCCCGAACCTACCAGTTTAGGGTGTGTGCTGTTAACCAGGTGGGAAAAGGCCAGTACAGCACTGAGACCAGCAGGTAGAGTAAAAACAGATCCCGGGGTAAAAAGGCCTGCCTGTGGAGTAATGCTCAATACTTGGCGTAGAAATCTCTCAGTTGTTCAGGATGTTTAAATGAAACCTTTAATGCCGCAGTGGGGATGTGTGTGGGCACTTGACAGCCACTCATGGCTGGATAAAAAGCTCAACAAGGTTGAGCAGTAATTAGCTGTAATGACAATTAGCAGGAGCAGCATATTCAACAGGGAGAGGGGGCAAAATGAAGCCATCTTCCCAGAGTAGCAATTGAATAGGACCTTAGAAGGCAACGAAATGGGTACGTACAGGGCCAAAATTTTTTTTTTCAGTTGTCTAAACTACAGTGGTTAACTGTGGAATGGGCATAGCGCTCACCCTGTCACTGCAGTGTCACGTCTGGAATTCATCCAGATGTGACATAGAAGGATGGCTTCATCAATCTGAGTTGCAAAGGCATCTCCCTTCCTCTGCGAACCAAAGCTTGCTGTGAGCTTGAATTACAGAGGAGCTGAACTCTAAATGGCTTTTGCAAAATGTAGGAGTTCGATATGAAAAATATTGAAGGAGCTGAAGGAAACAATTTGGATGGAGTCACAGATTCTGGACCTGAGCTCTAACTCATTCAGGCTTGTAATCTTTTTAAAGAAATGTGGCAGCCTGGGTGATTCAGACAGAATAAGGCTACCTCAGCTGTCTTTCTTGTTGCTTGCTTAACTGATTTTCTATTATGTTGATTTGTTGTAACTATCTCATGCATGTCTTCAGCAGTTTGATCAGCATTATATTTCTTTCTGGTCGTCAGATGTTAGCAAACAAAGCTGGTTCACATGTAATGGATACTTAAACTAGAAAAGCTATCTGTCTTTGTATCTCAGTGCCCACTTCCCATCACATTGTTTTTGTCTTTTAGGTTGATGCTCCCGGAAGAACCCCCCAGTGCCCCTCCTAAAAACATAGTGGCCAGCGGCCGCACCAATCAATCTATCATGGTTCAGTGGCAGCCTCCTCCTGAAAGCGAACACAATGGGGTTCTCCATGGGTACATCCTAAGGTGAGCAGCCAGCATGTTCCCTAGCCTAGAGAATCTGGAGCTAAAAATGTGAGTGGATGAGAGTCTGGCATCTCAGTGGTGTGACTAACCAAAAAGAAAAGAGCGTTAAGGAATTATTTGCCCAGTACTATGGATGTGCATGGTGTCTGACAGACAAACAAAAGATCAAGAAGTTGAGAGATTAAAAGTTAGGATTTGTGTAACCTGCAAGCTAGTGTCTGGATTTCCAGCACATAAACCACTTAGCACAAATTCTCCATATAAACACTGTCCAGGTACACAGTGGCTAAGTACAGACAGTCCAAAAGCTGGAGGCTGAATTGATTCAGTCTTTGCAAGTTAGTCTAAGTGGCATAGATTGTACCAATAAGCAAGTGAACAGACATTCACTTTTGATTCTGGAAATGCAGCCACATGCCTGCAGTGACCCAGGCCAGGAGCTGCAGTTGGGGGGCTAGATCATGCTTCCCTGTTTGGCTGGAGCAGACAGCTTGGGCCAAGGCTGACCTGCCCACCTTGCATGGGGCAATTGGCAGGGGAGGTGCAAAGCATGCTCTGGGGGACTGTGAGTTAACTTGTGTGTCTGGAGGGGATCTGGGGTAGAAGTTCAACGAAATCAGGTAAGTCTGATGCTACATCCATCCAGGTTTCTCTTAAAACAGGTTTGGCCATTTGGAAAGCGGTGTATGTGCACTGAACTTCTGTTGTGTTACAAGCTGGAACTGGTTTCTCATCACTTATACTGGTTTATGTGTAACTTGTATCCCTTGCCAGTGAGTGCAAGACAGGTTACTCCACTTTGAAAGTGAAGTGCTAAGCACTGAAAGGGTTCGTATGAGGAGACAATACAAAGGAGCTAGTGTACTGTAATTTTATACCCTCGCTTCCTGTGCTGTAACTTCCCTGTGTAGACAAGTCTTCACACACATCACACCAAAGAAACGATGAACAATGATTTACATCAAAGGATAGGAATTTCATCAGTAAACTAGTTTTCTTCCAGAGAAAATAAAGCGGGAGGGTGTGACAGATCAAGTCAACTTGGCCAGGTTGGGTTTCGGATTAGAAATCAGTAAGATAAATAAGCTCTCTTCAACCTGCCTATAATAATTAACAAAGAAGAGTTGCAAGCAGCTAACTTAAAACCAGCCACTTGGTCCGATCTTTCTGCTTATCCATGTGTTGCTTCCTAAGAAAGGGTGAGACTAAGAGACTCCTCAGAACACATTTCTCTCCGAGTCTCTCTAAGATTTCGCTGCCATCCCTCTGATGTATCTACAGAATATGTCCGCCACTTGATAGCGTTGCTGCCTTGCACAGAGAGAAGATAACTGTAGCCTTTGCTCTGCTCAAGAAGGCCTTGTCTAATCTAGCCGTTGTTTTAGGAAACTGCCTAGTACTGCATTACTCCATGCAGCGGTTGGAGCCTTAGGCGAGACAGGATTCACAATTCTGCTGGTGTTTCCGTGGTCGTGTCCTCTACACCCGTGAAAAATTACGGCAGTAAACATTCCTGGGTCTATCTACACTAGTGCTCCTGCCTTTCCTAGCACTGGAAGGTCTGCTCAGGTGATGGTGAACTGGATGAAGGTTTTCTGGATAAGCCAAAGGTTAAGAAAGCTGGTGAGTGTGGATACTCACCTCATCATCCCAGGGGCAGGGAGAAGATTCCCAATAACAGATGGTTCAGCTGTGGGGTTTATACAGCTCTTGCCTCCACCTCAACTTTCTCACTGACGTGTTTTCCAAATGATCTTTTTTATTTTTAAGAGAAATGAAGAAATGAAAACACAATAAATACCTCATTTGGTAAAACCTGTGTCTTTCCATTCCCTCTTCTCCAGCCATTTTATGGTAATTTCCCCCCTGATTTTACATCTTTTCTTGCTGATGACCAGGGATCCTGGTTTTCCCTGATAAAAATCACAAATTCTCGAATAAAACCCCCAAAATCTCACTCCCCCTACAGCCCCCTGGCTGCCAGTCCTGAGCAGACTCCTCTGCCTGGGTCCTGCCACTTTCCTCACAAGCAGGAATCCTGGTGTTCCCTATTCAAAAACTGCATTTTCTCTGATCAAAAAAAAAAAAAAA